GTTCAGTTTTCTCACATTGTAATTGCGGCAGTTAAGGGCTTAAGAACTCGTTTAGATAGAATTGTAACCAGAACCTGCGTTTCCTACACTAGTGCTATTTCTACTATTCGAAAGTTAAAAATTGTATGCAATGCCAAAAACATTAGATGAGTTTACTATTTCATGCTTAATGTGGTATGTAGGATAATATTTGATGACCCAATTGATGACATGTGGAAGGATGATCTTTAATGCTTGCTTTCTTCTCATCCCAAACAAATATTTACACCGGAGATGCACTGGACATGTAGACTGCCAAAAACCAGCTATCACACTCTCCTCAAAGCAGGTGTCAAGGACTTGCCTTAACCGGTCTTACAACCTGTTTGCCTGCCCTCCACCCTTCCTTCTCCAGTTGTTGTACAGCATCAGTATACTGTTCTCTCTGTTTCACCTAAAATACTTCCTTGTTAGACCTGCTGGAGAAATTGTCTCTAAAAGAGAACATGAGAATCTACCAAAAAAATTTTAATGATTCTACAATATTTACTTTTTTGCTACTTGTGTCTTTAAAAGAAGAATATAAGACCAATTTTAATTAACTGAAATATCCAGTAGATCAGCAATATTTTTATTTTGCATAGAAGAAAGTTACATATGTTACCAAATAGGAGAAAATTACTTTTAAGTGTAATCAAGTATTGATATTTAACTAAAGGATGTGGTTTATACATTTTGCAATATAGATGATCATCATTCGTTTATTAATTTTTCTCACAAAGTCTTTCCTAATTATTGATACCTACTTTCGTCTGATTTCTGAAGCTTAAAATCTACCCCCCCCTTTACATAACACTTAATTTTTCATAAAATGAAAAGACCCTCCAGAGAATTAATTTATTAATTATTCATTCATTGTAATACATTTAAAATAATGTGTACCCATTTACAAAAAGCTCATGAATTTAGAATTAAAAGAGACTTTAACATAAACATTAGGTCAGTTACCTTATGAAGAAACAGAATCATCAGTTAAGTGATTTACCCAGGGTCTTCAAGAATTAAAACTGACTCAAACCTGTTAAATATGTTGTTTTTATTTTCTTAGGCATTTATGCTTTCTTTGGAATAATTATTCTAGTTCTTGTTATGCACTCATGCAAAAGTAAAATTTCAGTGTTTTAAGAAACCTTGGGAAAACGCTGGTTTGTTGAGTCCAGGAAAGGAATTAAGCACAACTGACAGTGACTAGTGTTTGTTACACATTTTCTAAGAGTGCATAGTGGTATTTCTTCAAAACTTAACTTGCAGATAAGTATAACGAAAGGGAGGCAACTGGCAACCAGAGGAAAAGGAAGTGGTGGAGGTGACCATTTATGTAGATAGTCAGACTTAATAGACAAACTAGCCATGTTACAATCTATGTAAAGAGAGGTAATGATCCCTTGTTAGGGAAAATTATATTGATGCTGCGTAAATGCCATAATTCCTTCTGTATCCCTGCCAAAAAGGTTTAGCCCGGCCATGTGGCTCAGCCGGTGAGCATTGACCGATGACCCAGGAGGTCTCAGTTCAATTCCTGGTCAGGACACATGCCCAGGTTGTGGGCTCGATCCCCAGTGTGGGGCGTGCAGGAGGCAGCCAGTCAATGGCTCTCTCATCATTGATGTTTCTGTCTCTCTCTCCCCCTCTCCCTTCTTCTTTCTGAAATTAATAAATCAGCCTTTAAAAAAAAAATATGGAGAAGGGATTGATAGATGCGAGGAATATTACTTACATGCTGCTTATGCAGTTCTGTGGTTTTGTTGTCCCAATGGTTGATAATATTCCTCTTTCAAAATAATATCTATAGAAATAGTTGAAATTGTGGTCTGATCCATTCTGAAGACATTTGTGTGTGTTTTTCTTGTATGTTTAAACAGATTTATATCTGTTCCACTTATCTGTACTGGATACATTAAATGAGAGTGAGACAGGCCAGTAAGCCAGGACAAGTGTAATACGGAAACTGAAACAGATAGTAATTAAACAGCAGTTTGCAGCCATGTAATAAATTCTATCTTCCCTAAACCAGGGACACTTAGGAGTAAATGGTTTGCACTTCTCTCCAACCAGAGGGTAAATAGCTTAAATCATCCTACTCTGGGAGAATAGATAGAAATCCAATTCGTGCCATTTGCCAACCACACCCAAGGACAAATAAAGTTAAGAGAATAATCCTCATTGGTACATCAGCATAAAGCTGATGAATATTCAATTTTGATCCTCCCCTAAGACCTGCCCTAAACACCCAGCCTTTAAAACCCCTCAGAAAAAAGGTCCAGCACTGGCTTGCCCTCCCAGGACATGCCTGTGCCTCTCCCCAGCATCTCCTAAACGCTAAGGGACCCCATGAGGCTTGCAACTAAGGCAGCAATGGGCAGTGCCAATTCATCCCTAGCAAACCCCCTGAACCAGTCCCCAAGGCCCCCTTTTCTTAGTGAACCAAAGCACCCCAGCCTAGGCTCATTTCCCCAGCCCTTCCTTGTTTCATTGTCTCCAGCTTTAATAACATCTTCTAAAATTCACCTGGACTTGTGTTGTGAAATTTTTCCTGCACGAAGTCAAGAACCCTTAAGTCTTTATTGAAGGAAGAGTACAGATACTGGGGAATTTTCATCTGTGGACATAATGAGATGCTGGATTTTTGGTAAGGCTGCCAGCTTTTCCTAGTAGAAGACATGTAAAAAATATACTGAGATTATCATAATAATGTCAACTGAAGAAACAGGAGATATACATATTTCTCTTCTCCCAAAACATATATATACCCCTTCCTCAGGACATGGGACTATCCCTCTCCCCAGTCACTTTTTAAAAGGCAAATGTCAAGACTAAAAAGAAAAACAGAATAAATAAATATGCAGAAAATTGATCAAGTTCATGTACATGTTTCTGGTGGTGGAAAAAGGGTCCATTTTCTGAGCTGAAGAAGCTGAATTAGGTTAGGAATACACACTTTAACAGCTGATAGCTCAATTGGTGTTTCTTTTTAGATTTAACCCATTGGAATTATAATTATTCAAAGTGTATATACATCTTTGGGGAACACCCTGTATATATCTTCTAGCAGCCTTGGAGCTGATTATATGCAAAACGTCTTAGAAATAAGGCTTATTAAAATGTTCACTAGTAGGTTCCCAGGAGGAAGGAGGGGGTGAAAAAAACGATACCTTTTAGGTGTCTCATAGGAGACACATGAATTTATAACTAGAAAGAATTTTAAATGCCAGGGTATTTTTTTAAACTCATGATGCCTTGACTGAGTTCCCTGGAACCTCCACCGGGTAGGTGATAGTGCAACAGATATAATCCTTAATGCCCAGGTCAAGGCATATCTCCAGGCCAGGAATAAGTCTGCTACCAGAATTGTAACCTGGATTGTGTACAATGCCAAAAGGGAAAAAAGAAATTGAAAATCGGAGTACAAAGTATAAATTCCTGTCTAGAGCCTAGAATAGTAATTATGTAGAAGTACACTTGGGATAGAATGAGCATTACAGAATCAGGTGTAGGTAGGTTAAGACCCAGGTTGATTCCTTTTGTGACAGAAATGCTTCAGTGCAACATTGGAGATATTCATCTTAACCACAAATCAGGTGCAAAATGGAAGCATTCTTTTATCTTTCAAATACCTCTGAAGAAATTAAGATACTGCAGCTGTTCTAGATTGGGTATGTGATAAGATTTGAGAATCATAAAATGGATACGTAACAAATCTTAAGAACATCCGTATATATATATATATATATATATGTATATATATATATACACACACACACATACACATACACGGAGGGTTTCTAGGGCACTAATATTAACTGTTTTGGATCCTTTGCATGTGGTTTCAGGGGCCACAGAACCACACATCCCCTTAGTAGTGCTATTGCTATCTAAGTAAGATAATTTTCAGGTTTGACCCCAAGCTGGTAGCACATTAACTGATTTTACATGGAAATTATTAGGTAGTACCTACCTCAGAACCATCCAGATAAGGATTTGTCTGTTGTCAAGTCTGAGAGCAATACTACTGCATTGTTATCTTGATACCTTACTATTTTGGGGGTAGAGGATGTTAGTAAGAAACAACTAATTATTAAAACATTAACAAGGTGGCAAGTGAAGGGCATGATACATTTTTCAAATTGCTCAGACTTTGCAAAGGAAGGTAATGTAGCACTTCTCTACTTCACAGATCTTTATTGGCTTATAACCTTCACCCATCCCTAGATTTAGTCAAAGTTGATATAAGAGGACAGTAGGAACAGCAACAAGCAGAATTCCTAAATTGTCACTGATTCTCCGAGCTGCAAATTCTCCACACTGATATTCTACAAAAGGCAGAAGAATCTTGAGAGTAGGTATAAAAACAGATCATTCAACCCTGAGAGACAGTATATATATACCCATTTGGCCAGGACATAGGCCTTAGACATTAAGTACTCCGTCTACTCAGTTCTTGAGGGGTTATAACTTCTTGGCTTCCAGATCTAAGAACATCTCACTGATGGCAACCACTGAAACTCATAAATAAATATACTGTTGACGTGGTGGGAGATGGAGGATAAGACTTCCAAGCAATGGGATTGATTATTTCTACTGAGCCTCACCACTAAAAGATAGTAAGGAAGTAGTATAAATACATCATGCTGCTCAAAGTGCCTCTCAGACCTTTAGGGCAGATTTCCTAAGGAACATCCTTATGCATTTTATCTACCTACTACCCATCAGTAATGGTAGCTTGTTGGATAGTGAGTTTTAGTCTCACTGTGAATGTTTTCATTGCAAGTTCTACAGAGCTTCCCAGTCAGGAGTTTATCATGTCCATGCCTCCTAACAATTCCAAGAGAAACTATTCTTAGGGATGTGAAAAGCCTAGAAATGAAACAAAAAAAGGGGGATGGACTTGGATGAAGCCATCCTGGGTTATTTCCTGCTTAGAATTGAGGCATTTCAGGTGGCCTGTCCTTGTTTAAATGGCCTGTCACCCTGAAGTACAAGCAGAATTATGATCCTGCCTACTTGCCAGTAAGCCCAATAAGCATTTATTTAACTTCAGATCTTTTCAGTTATAGGCCACCCTAGGGTCCCCAGTGGACCTAGTGGCTCTCAGACTAGTAACTAATCTCCCCTCTAACAAGGTACCCTAGACAGCCAGCTTGCCTGGCTTTGTTCAGTGCCCTCGATGCATCGTTCTCTTTTTCCCTCTATCCAAGTAGAAGTTTTAGTGTAGAGGTCAGGTAGATGATTTTTGTGCTAAGGACAGGGCCGAGGGTGATTTGAAAGTGAAATAAAACGTAACCAAAGCCCTCCAGATTAAAGGGGAGCTCTTTCCAGTCGGCGCCGAGCTATGGGCATCTCTCGGGACAACTGGCACAAGCGCCGCAAAACTGGGGGCAAGAGAAAGCCCTACCACAAGAAGCGAAAATATGAGCTGGGACGCCCTGCTGCCAACACTAAGATTGGACCCCACCGCATGCACACAGTTCGAGTGTGGGGAGGCAACAAGAAGTACCGAGCCTTGAGGTTGGATGTGGGCAACTTCTCCTGGGGCTCAGAGTGTTGCACGTGCAAAATGAGGATTATTGATGTTGTCTACAACGCATCCAACAACGAACTGGTCCGCACTAAGACCCTAGTAAAGAACTGCATTGTGCTCATTGACAACACCATACTGACAGTGGTACGAGTCCCACTATGCACTGCCCCTGGGCCGCAAGAAGGGGGCCAAGCTGACTCCTGAGGAGGAAGAGATTTTAAACAAAAAACGATCAAAGAAAATTCAGAAGAAATATGATGAAAGGAAAAAGAATGCCAAAATCAGCAGTCTTCTAGAGGAGCAGTTCCAGCAGGGTAAGCTTCTTGCACGCATCGCTTCAAGACCAGGCCAGTGTGGCCGAGCAGATGGCTATGTGCTTGAGGGCAAGGAGCTGGAGTTCTATCTGAGGAAAATCAAGGCCCGGAAAGGCAAATAAATCCTCTTTCCTTCTGTCCTAGCTCATGTAATAAAGGTGTTTAATCTGGAAAAAAAAAAAAAAAGATTAAAGGGGAAATTTAGGCATAAAGCAGCTGGACAGAAACTAGAAATTCAGATAGAAGGTAACAGAACAAAACCCAGAAAGACTAGGTTAGAGTAAGAGGGTTCATAAAGAAGGGTGAAATGTAAAATCCTGAAATACTCCCTGAGATACAGCCACAGTAGCCATAAGTACCTTTATATCCTCAGGTGGGAAAGAAGTTGTTCAAGGGCTCTAAGCTGTCTCATACTCCAAGTTGGTTTCTATACCACCACCAACACTCCCATCCCCATGCCCATGCTAATAGGGAGCCTGCCAAGCTTTCACAGAAACTAGTCATTCAAGGCCAGATTTAAAGCTTGGAGGTAGAATTCTGTTACTAATAATGGCAGCTCTTATTCTTGCAACAAACAACCTCTCAGTTTGAATTTTAGATTTGTGTTATGTCTTATTTCACTAAATTTTCAAAGCATCCCTGAGAGAAGGGTAGTAGTCCAATTATACTTTATTGCAGGGACAGACTCTTCATTTGCCCTCCAGTAGTTTACACTGAAGGTTAAATCTATAAACTCCAAAAGTCTACTGTATATCAGGCATTGTTCAGTTAAGATTCATTATATTAGTTTTTGTGCAGTAGGCACTGTTGTTTTGTGAAGTTATCCACTTCTGACCTCATTGGAACAGCTATTACTAGAGAAGTGTTTTTATTTTATTTCATTTATTTATTTATTAAATATATCTTTATTGGTTTCAGAGAGAGGAAGGGAGAGGGAGAAAGAGAAACATCAGTGATGAGAGTCTTCATTGATCAGCTGCCTCCTGCATGTCCCCAACTGGGGATCGAGCCCACAACCCCAGCATGTACCCTGACTGGAAATCGAACCTCAATCTTCTGGATCCTAGGTTAATGCTCAACCGCCGAGCCAAGCCTGGCTGGCTGTAGAGAAGTGTTTTTAAAAAGCGTTAAAATTGAGAGAAAGAATAGCAAGAAACAACGGAGAAAACAAAATCTTTAGGGGGAAAAATGTGGTAGTAAATTAATTATTGACTGTAAGATGATGTAACTAATTTTTCTTTAGCATAGAGAGAGAACACTCCCCATCTAAATTTTATTAGGTTAGCATAACCTTAATACAAAAACCTGACAAGAAGAGTATGAAAGGGGACAATTAAAGACCATTCTCACCCATGAATGTAAAAAAATCTTGTGCAAATATTAGCAAAATGAGTCTAGCAATGTATGAAAAAGTATACATTATCATCAAATTAGGATTATTCCAAGAATGCCAAGTGGGTTTTGTGGAATTTATCCCATTAAAACTCCTAGGAAAAGGGGAAACTTTCTTAATCTCTAAAGGGTAGCCATAAAAATTCTATAGGAAAAGTTATACTTAGAAAGAATATTACTGTCATTGTTTCACCATTGAAGACCAGGAGCTTATTCGACAGTGTACTGGAATCCCAGCCAGTGCAGTAAGTCAAGAAACAGTAATGAGAGAATAAGAATTTACAAACTTGTATATTAATCAGCACACCAAAATATATTGCATATGTATACATCAGCAAACAATTAGAAAATAGGATTTTAAAAAAGATATAAGTAAATAGAGATACATTGTTCAGGAATACTAACACTCAAAGATTTCAGTTCTTCCCCAATTGATTTCTAGATTCAGTGCCGCTCATCAACATCCCGTCAGAGTATCACTTAAAATTATTAAGGTATCAAAGTTAATCCAAATGACAGATCCCCATAGGGTAGTTGTGTAGGTGTTACTGCAAACTGATACTACCTCTGAGAGCAGTTTGTAGTCTGTTTCCGGTACATTTTATGAAATAGAATTTTTATAGTATTGGAAGCTTTTATATCCAAAGACTTGCTAGAATCCTTACACATTTAAAGACCACTGAAATATATCACTTTCTTCCATGTAATGAGTAAAATTTGCCTTTTTAAAGTGACTTCAGAATTTCAGAAGAGAACCACAAAGCTGTGAATTTATAGATACCAGTCCAGGTTTTACTTTTTTTTTCTTTTGCCATCTGGTGGTGGCCAAGACCATTTCCTTCCTCTTTCCCCAGATACATATTTTCACATTCTGAACAACTACCTCACCCTTATTTTTTCATTCAATCTTTGATTTTTTAAAAATTTTATTTGTTTTTGTTGCTGTTGTTTTGGCATATGTGGGAAGTTCTTTTATCCTTATTTTTCTTTCTCCATTGGACTCATTACATTCTCTCTTGTTCATACTGGAGCAAAACATGTTCATCTTCATTGCCCTGCTTTAATCTGACTCAGTGAGTAAAAGCATGGGCTCTGAACCCAAACTGAAGCCTGGCTTCACTGTTTACTAGCATTATGATCTTAGGAAATTTAAACTTTGTTTTCTCATCTGTAAATTGGATAGGGGTCCAGGGGAATAATGGTATCTAACAGGGTTGTTATGAGGATTAAAAAAGGTTAATATTTATGAAGTTTTTACAATAAGATCTAGCTATATAAGTATATTTAAATAAACACTAGTCTGGCTTTCATAACCTAGCAAAATTTCAAACCTGCAAATTTAGATTCTTCAGTATCAAAAGTTAGTGCTAATACTATTTGATTTGTTTTGTTTTACAAACTTCATCTCAGCTAACATTGGCTTTTAAGTGTTGACATCCCGCTTACAAAAGAGGATATAGCTCCCCACTGCCACTGTTCCACACCGTTCCCATTCCTCCAACTTCCCATGTCAGTATCTTTGGATCTTTCTTTCAGGATTCCTGAGAGAAGTTTCTTTCAATATAAACCTCTGGTCTTCTGAGTTAGGGAGAATGTCTAGGGAACTGAATTCCAAAATATACTTTTAACCAGTCCTTATTTTTGCCCAGTGAGGGGATTTATATTTTATTTTGTAACCTCCTATGTAGTTTGAAAATTTTTTTAAATTTTTATTTATTGATTTTGAGAGAGAGACTTGTTCCACTTATTTATGCATTTGTTGATTGATTCTTGTATGTGCCCTGACCAGGGATGGAACCAGCAGCTACAGTGTATCAGGAAGATGCTCTAACCAACTGAGCTACCCTACCAAGGCCTGGTTTGAAATTTTTTAAACTTGTCTTGCAATACTTTTATAATTGCAGTGTTATATTTTTAACATATCAAATCTTTAAAATGCAGCTTGTTTAATAATTATTTGAGTGTAGTAGTATTATCTACATTTACATTTGTCTTTTGACTGGCTCCAGTTTATTTTACAGCAATTTTAATTGCCTGAGAACAAAAGCTTTGCTGTTGTTTGGTAGTTTTTATTTTATTGGAACAGCTTATTTTATTTACTACTTGGTAAGGAATGGCTGAATGGATAATTGTTCAAATGCAGTGTTAACTGTAAATAGTTTCATAACCTTGTTTATAACTCTTAGAAAGTCAAACCAGAATACCAGAAATATAAACCCTGTTTTGGGGCGGGGAAAATTCATCATTTATAATCATCAGTAATCCTTAAATTTCCCAAAATTTATGGTTACTTTGATTAGATTGTATCAGGGATTTTCAACTCATGACGCACAAACTAATTACTAAAGTTCTGCAGCACACCACAAAATATATTTTTTCCAATATGACAAAAAATAGGTATAATTTTGATTCATTCACACCAGTTGGCTATTGTTGTGTTGGCTATTGTCTTCTTTTTTTTGGTATTTGACAATCTAAGGTGAAAGAGGTGTTTGCCCCTGACTAAATAGTCAGTTGTTGCATGTTTTAAAAATTCTTGTGGCATCCCAGTGTGGATTATACTGTGCTATAGACAGGTTCGGCATCCATGGATTCAATCAACCAGGGATTGAAAATATTCCCCCAAAAATGTTACGTTGTTGCTGACATGCACTGTGTAGTTAGGACTACATGGTTGCATCTGTACTGAACATGTATTGACTTACCCCCTTATTATTATTTCCTAAACAATATAATATAACGACTAGTTACATGGCATTTATATTGTATTAGGTATTACAAGTAATCTAGTGATAATTTAAAGTATATAGAGTTTGTGCATAAGTTATATGCAAATATGGTGCCGTTTTATATAAGAGACATGAGCATCTTTGGTATCCTTTGGAGTCCTGGAACCAATCCCCCTCAGATACGAAGGGATGATTGGTATGGAATTGGTATGGATTGGTATGTGGTGTGGAATGTATTGAATAAGTATTCACCTGAAAAGCATCCCAGAAACAGATTTACTTACAAATGAGGAGGGAATAATGTGTATCTGTGAAATGTTACCAATGTACTATGACATCTCTTCCGTGAATTTATTTTTTTTAAAAACATATCTTTATTGATTTCAGAGAAAGGAAGAGAGCAGGAGAGAGAGGGTTGAAACATCAATGATGAGAGAGTCGTCATTGACCGGCTGTCTCCTGCACGCCCCCAACTGGGGATAGAGCCCACAATCCAGGCATGTACCCTGACCAGGAATCGAACCGCGATCTCCTGGATCCTAGGACGATGCTCAACTGCTGAGCCTCGTCCAGCCAGGCTCTTCTGTGAACTTTGGGGATAAGCATGTGTTGAAAAATCTTTCCATAGAGGTGCCAAAAACTGATGGGGAAGGGGGAGGCATGTGTCCATGTTTTAGTTTATGCTCTGCAACATGTAGAGGTATGGCTTTGAATACTGAGCTGATTACACTTTCCAGGCACCAAATCCTTGATGGGAATCTATGGTATTAGTATATGCAAAAATTAACAACCTGTCCTTCTGCTTAATCTGGAAGACTTGATTCACTTGTTAGGGCATTGGTTGAGCGGATCATCAGGATTATTAAGTATTTAGAATACTGTATGGGCTATGTTCAGAAATTAGTTGGCTAATAGTCTCAATCAAATGTTTTTATATTTTCTTATGGTTTACTTGCAACTCTAGCTTACAGAGAACCTTTCAAAAATATGATTCTTTTGACTATGCATTAAAATGTATAGATAGCCTAATTGATTTGAATTGCTCATTTTTAATAAAATGGCTTT